GATCCTGCCTAAACCTCCCTGCTCTCAGGGAAGGGGTGTGAAAGGGGTCTCCACCAGGGAGTGTGAGATGAGCGGAGGTGCTGTCACATCTTGAGGAGAGGACCCTACGTGACAGGCAGCTAGGCCAAGGGTGGACACACCCTCCAGGTTCCAAGAAGGCTCTTGTGCTTTTTTCATAGATGAGGAAACTGAGACTCTGAGGGGTCAGAGTCTTGCCTGGGGCTTGCCCGGGGTCACAGGATTTTTTTTATCAGTGTTTACAGGAACCATAGTACAAGGAGAAAGGGCAAAGCAATAGATGGAGTCACAGTGAGACACTGGGGCCTCGGTCCCTATTGGGGTTGGAGAAGGTCTTCTGCTAGGACTCAGGAGGAGACTTCATTCCCTCCCCAAGAGCTGGCCTGGCCCTCTGGCTCCAGGGGGTGAGGCTGAGCCCTGGGAAATAGGGCAGCCTGGGCTTCCTGGGTCGCCTCCGGCCCCTCCCCCTCCCTGCCTTTGTTTCTTTGCCTCCTTGGCCTCTTTCTCTTTCTCTCTCTCCCTCCTCCTCACTCAGGCTCCTCCGCTGCCCCCCTTTCCTGTCTCTTCATTTCTTCTCCCTCCCTCCCTCCCTCCTTTCCTCTTCCTCCTCCCTCCCTCTCCCTCTTATGGCTTCCCTTCCCCCACTCCCAGCACATCTACACTCAGGCAGCTACTGTATTTCTCCATCTCTCCGCCTTTAACATTTATTTTCTCCACACCCTGGGGACCCAGGCTGAGCCGGGTCGGCTAATGGACACCCCCATCTCACTAGCCCGGGCTATGGGAGAGCCCAGGCCTTCCCAGCTTCGTTCCCTTGGACATGGTCAGGAGCTTTTGTTCTGAGTCCTCCCCACAAGTGGAGAGAGGCATTGCCCCCAGGAGGGAGGTGCCACCAGGAGGCCCTGGGCAGATGACACTGGCCTGTGGCTGAGTGGGACAGCAGTAGCTTACAGGTAGCATGGCACCTGGCAAGCTCTCCTACCCTGGGCAGCCCTGGACCAGGACACCAAGCAGAGGCCTGTGAGAAGGAACTAGCGGGAGTGGGAAGAAGCCAACCAAAAGGCTGCCCAGGGGAGCAGGGGAGAAGGACAGTTTCTGCTGTTTCTGTGTGTGAGAAACATGCATGCAAAATGCAGGTCAATTAGATTCCCCGTCTTACTTCGCTTAGCCTCTGCCTCTACAGAGCCTATTCTGCATGCACACACACACACACACACACGCACGCACACACACACAGGCGTACAGCCTATATGGCAGGAGACTGGGCAGCATGGACACATCCACTAAATCTGCACTTGCAGGGTAATGTGTGTCTGCTCTGGCGAGTGTCTGTCTAGTGTAAAAGAAGGATTGCTGGCCAGGTGGGCAGTAGCTCAACCAACTGGTAGACCTAGAGATCTGAGGAGGGGCTCTGGCTGCCCTCAGGGGGCCAGCCAGGAGGAGAATGAGGCTTCATATTGCAGGTTTTCAAGTCTCACTCATGTGCTTCTGCTGGTTCTTAGTGACCCAGGGCAGCTCCTGAGAGCAGAGGAGGCCAAGCTCAGAGCCATGATGTGACCTCCTCCTATGTTGCACAACTGTGGCATCAGAGATGGACACCTGAGCCCAGTAAGGCCAGCAGGGGGCCAGAGAGACCTGGGAACAGACTCTGCTCTGTCCTCACTGATGAGATATTCGTAAGAATGTTATTCCTGCCAGGTGCCCTGGCACGAGAGCCGTAATCCCAGCAGCTCTGGAGGCTGACAGGAGGATCATGAGTTCAAAGCCAGCAAAAACAAGGCGCTAACCAACTCAGTGATACCCTGTCTCTAAATAAAATAAAAATAGGGCTGGGGATGTGACTCAGTGGGCGAGTGCCAGGTTTCCTGAGCAAGCTGGGGGCGCTGATGCCTCCTGTCACAGTGACCCATCTCTGAATTTAATCCCTGGTACCAAAACAACAACAACAACAACAAAAGCACACGTCAGGCTTGGTTTATCTCCCCAGTCCTGGGGCCAAAGAAGGGCCCACTTTGAATGGTCATTTACATGATTCACAGTAGGAATCCCGAGCAGACCTGTACTCCATGTCCCTCAGGCAGGACTGATTAACTCTGCTGCTCTCTCATCCACCTCTAGAGTAAAAAAAGTGCTGGGGATGTACCTCAGTGGTAGAGCACCCCTGGGTTCAATCCCCGGTGCAAATGAAGGAAGGGAGGGGTTGGGACTTGCCCAAGGTAAACCTAGGCTTCATTATTTTTTTAATTTTATTTTGAAACAGGGTCTCACTAAGTTGCTCAGAGCCTCTCCAAGTTGCTGAGGCTGGCTTTGAACCTGTGATCCTTGTGCCTCAGCCTCCCAGGCCACTAGGATTACAGACATGTACCACTGCGCCCAGTTAGGCTTCCCTATTGATGATCAGTTCATCCTCTGCTGGCCCTGACTTTGGGGAAGTCTTAAAAAAAAAAAACAAAAAAAAAAAAACGCTGAGTGCATTGTTTGCTTGAAGTCACAGCAGATGTGAAGGCTGCTGCTGGGTAATGCCTCAGAGACAGGTCACTGTGACAGGAGGCATCAGTGCCCCCAGCTTGCTCAGGAAACCTGGCACTGGTGGGTGCCAGGTGTGGCAGCGGTGGAGACAGGAACCCTGCCTCGTTCATCTTGTTCTCTCCAAGCACAAGCCTGACTCATAGCAGGAATTTACCAAATATTTGTTGCATAAATGAGTTCACAAGTTCTTAGTTCCTAGTTGTTGTCCTTAGAGTCACCAAAAATTTGCTGAGTTGGGTGCCTGAGATTGAGAGTATCTCAGCTCTGTGGCTTCTTTCAGGAAAGGCTTCCTCCAGAGATCTGGGCAGACAGAAAAATAGTGATTCTTTACATTGGTTTATAGCTTTGCAATTAACTAAGTCCCTTCCCCAAGGTTATGACCTTCAGGCTCTCACACCTTTCTACCTTACTTTTTTTATTTTTTGGGGAGGGCAGTACTAGGGATTGAACCCAGGAGTGCTGTACCACTGAGTCAGCCCCCTGCCATTTTAATTTTATTTGGGGACAGGGTCTTGCTAAACTGCCCAGGCTGGCTTCTAACTTGTGATCCTTCTGCCTCAGTCTCCCAGGTCACTGGGATTTCAGGTGTGCACCTTCGCGCTCAGCTTCACGCCATTTCACGGCAGGGAAACTGAGGTGCAGAAGTGACTTTGCATAGTCACATGTAAGCAATGGAGACAGAACTTGATTCCTAGAAGAGTGATCCTTCTCTTCTAGGAGAGTTAGGCTCCCCGAGACTGTTCCAGATGAACCCTGAGACCCCTACTTAAGATTCCTTCTGTCAGATCCCTTCCGTGAGAGCCGCACTCTAAGCTTAATAGTTGAATCTTTAGTGACTGCTTCAAGGACGCTAAATTCCTGTCTGGGGTATTTTTAGCTTCAGGAAGGGGAAGCTCCACTGGGCCTGGGGGAAGGGCAGCACCAGGCCTGGGGCTAGTTTCCTGAGGAAGGGCTGTCCCTGGCAGGAGTGCTGCTCCCCTTCCTTTGGTGGCTATGCCAGGTGTGAGCCAGGGCAGGGAACAGGGACATGAGTATCCGAGGTCCAGGAGGAGGTGCCGCACAGCCACAGGCATGCTGCTTGGTGTACCATGGTTCTGGGGAAGCCTAGTGTGGTCAGAGGGCTGGGAGGGCCCCAGGTGCATCCTGAGGGACCCCTAGGAAGCTGCTGCAGCTCAGTGGGTTGGGGAAATGGAGCCCCCTGTGGGGAACTAGTGTGCAAAGGTTGGGCTGCTGGGGAGCAGGTGTATAGGGAGGCAGCTGGAGCCTGCGGAAGGAAGGAAGCCCTGACTTGGGTTTGTACCTGCGCAGGTGGGCACTCTGGCATTGTTTACAAGAACCTATTAGATCAGAGACCATCAACGTGACCCTGGAAGCAAGTTTAACATTCAAGTCAGACAGTGGACTCAAGCATGTTCACCATCAGGGAGCCCTTCTTTCATCAGATCTAACATGCAACTCCAATGTATAAATCAGACAAAAGCTCTGTTTTCATCAGTATAAATTTAGATATTTAAATGTATCACATTTGGCTAATCAAGAAAAACAATGACCTGTGTGGTAGACACAGGCATTCAGCGCCAGGGTGGCTGTCAATCATTGAGACCAACCTCCGCACCTCATTTATTTTTATATGTTGTCTTGTTTTTGCCCTATGTGTACTAAAAAAATTCTCATTTATACAGCCAAGCCATCACAAATGGTGACAGTTGTTTAACACCTCATAGTACAGTCTCAAGGTCTGTGCAAAATTAATTATCTTGGCAGCATGGCCAGTGGGGCTGTTGAGTGTGTTAGGATGTGGTACATATTGCATTTGAGTAGGTGGATTTTAAAATAGTAGGATCATTATTTTTAAAGTAGCAGAATAATAATAATAATAATAATAATAATAATTGTTATTATTATTATTATTATAGCATTTTTAAATCAGGTTTCTGAGAACTTTTTTTTTTTTCAGTACTGGGGATTGAACCCAAGAGCATTTTACCACTAAGCTATAACCTGTCCTTTATACTTATTTATTTTTATTTTAAGCTAGGGTCTCTTGCTAAGTTACTTAGACTAGCCTTCAATTTGTGATCCTCCTGCCTTAACCTCCAGAGTGGCTGGGATTATAGGCATGCACCACCATACCCAGCTTTTGAGAACTTACTGAAGGACCTGCAGGGCAGTTAGAGTACTACTGAGGAAATCTAACCTCCCTGTTTTACAGATGGGAAGACCAAGGTCAATGAGGGAGCTAACCTTACCCAGAAGCCCACAGAGAGATGGAGGTGATGGTTAGATACAGAGGGTATCACCTTTCCCCATAATTACAAGTGTGTCCTCTTCCCAAGACATGAGTAGAAAGACATCAGGGCCAGACACACCCAAATCAGCCAAGCCCTTGTCCACTCTGAGTCTGTCTGTGAAGCACTGAACCAGGGTACTAACGCACCCCTCTCTTCCCACAGCGATGCCCTCCTAGCCAGCTGCCGGGGATGGAGGGCTTCATGGACTCAGGGACACAGACGGATGCCGTGGTGGTGCTGTCCTTGGCTCAGGCTGCTGTACTGGGCCTGGTCTCAGAAAATGAGCTCTTTGGAGCCACCATAAGCCCCGAGGCCTTCTACCCGGACCTAGGACCAGATCTGTCTGGGGCGTCTATAGGGGAGCCTGGGCCACCAGGACCCGATGTGTACCAGCTGGCCTGCAACGGCAGGGCCCTGGAAGAGCCGGCAGAGGAGGAGGTGCTGGAGGTGGAGGCAGCCTTTGAGAAGCACACACGTCGGAAGACACGGCCCCCTGTGCGGCTGGTGCCCAAGGTCAAGTTTGAGAAGGTGGAGGAGGAAGAGGAGCAGGAGGTCTATGAGGTTTCCGTGCCTGGTGACGACAAGGATGCAGGCCCAGCAGAGGCCCCTACTGAGGTGGCCGGTGGCGGCTGCGAAGCCCTGGTGCAGAGCAGCGCTGTCAAGATGATCGACCTCAGCGCCTTCAGCCGCAAGCCCCGGACGCTCCGGCACCTGCCCCGAACTCCCAGGCCGGAGCTGGATGTGACCCCGTACAACCCTCACTTCCCCGACCCGTCCCGAGACGGCTTCCCCGAGCCCAGCATGGCGCTGCCTGGGCCAGAGGCCTTGCCCGCCGAGTGTGGGTTTGAGCCGCCCCATCTGGCCCCCCTGAGCGACCCCGAAGCCCCCACCATGGCATCCCCGGAGCCTGTCAAGCCAGAGCAGGGCTTCGTGTGGCAGGAGGCCAGCGAGTTTGAGGCCGACGCGGCAGGCTCAACAGTGGAGCGCCACAAGAAGGCCCAGCTGGATCGGCTGGACATCAACGTGCAGATCGACGACTCCTACCTGGTGGAGGCAGGCGACCGCCAGAAGCGCTGGCAGTGCCGCATGTGCGAGAAGTCCTACACGTCCAAGTACAACCTGGTGACGCACATCCTGGGCCACAACGGCATCAAGCCGCACTCGTGCCCGCACTGCAGCAAGCTCTTCAAGCAGCCCAGCCACCTGCAGACGCACCTGCTGACGCACCAGGGCACGCGGCCACACAAGTGCCAGGTGTGCCACAAGGCCTTCACGCAGACCAGCCACCTCAAGCGCCACATGCTGCTGCACTCCGAGGTCAAGCCCTACAGCTGCCACTTCTGCGGCCGTGGCTTTGCCTACCCCAGCGAGCTCAAGGCCCACGAAGTGAAACATGAGAGCGGCCGCTGCCACGTCTGCGTGGAATGCGGCCTGGACTTCTCCACCCTGACCCAGCTCAAGCGCCACCTGGCCTCCCACCAGGGCCCCACCCTCTACCAGTGCCTCGAGTGTGACAAGTCCTTCCACTACCGCAGCCAGCTGCAGAATCACATGCTGAAGCACCAGAACGTGCGGCCCTTTGTGTGCACCGAGTGCGGCATGGAGTTCAGCCAGATCCACCACCTCAAGCAGCACTCGCTCACCCACAAGGTGAGCCTGCCTGTCCCGCTCGGCCCTCCGCCAGTTTTTTTATTTGTTATTTATTTGTCTATCTATCTGTGATTTATTTATTTATTTATTTGGTTCTAGAGATTGAACCCAGGGGCACTTTACCACTGAGCTACATCCCCAGTCCTTTCTATTTTTTTTATTTTGAGACAGGGCCTCCCTAAATTACCCAAGCTGGCCTTAAACTTGTGAACCTCCTGCCTCAGCCTCCCAAATCACTCAGATTGTAGGCATGCACCACAGTGCCTGATACTCCTATCACTTATTCATTCAGGACTTCTCAATGTTCTGGTTGAGACAATTTAGGTGCAACTCAGGTGGACATTTCTTATTTTTGTATTTATAAATTTCTCTTGATAGGGTTGGGGATGTAGCTCAGTGATAGAGAGCATTTGCCTAACATGTATGAAGCTCTGGGCCATGAGAGGGAGGGAGGGAGGGAGGGAAGGAAGGAAGGAAGGAAGGAAGGAAGGAAGGAGAGAGAGGGAGAGAGGTGGGGAAAGAAAAGGAAGGAAAGAAGGATTTATCTTGATGGATATTAAAGAAAAATACAATTGAAATTAGTTTTTAGTTTAGTGTTTTGTTTTGTTTTGTTTTTTCAGTGCTAGGAATTGAATCCAGGGCCTCGTACATGCTAGGCAAATGCTCTACCACTGAGCTATATCCCTGGTCCTGAAATTATTATTTTAAATAGTAAAACTTGGCCAGGAGTGGTGGTGTGCCTCTGTAATCCCAGCAACTTGGGAGGCTGAAGCAGGAGGATCAAAAGTTTAAGGCCAGCCTGGACAATGTAGCAAAACCCTGTTTCAAATTAAAAAAAAAAAAAGAAGTGCTGAAGGTATAGTTTAGTGGTACAAGGCCCTGGGTTTAATCCTAATATCTTGGGGGTAAAAAAAGGAAAAACTTAAAATGGTTGGGGGTTGGAAAGAAAAGTTTAGGGAACCCCCGAAGAACACAGTGTGGGAATCACAAAAGTAGCCTAACCTTCCTGACTTCTGGATGGGAGAACTAAGGCCTGAAAGAGGCCAGGACATCACTGGGAGACAGGCACAACAGCATCCTCTGCTGCTTGTTGTTTGTTACTAAAGAATGTCAAAACCCGTGACTTCCCTTTAGGAATAGGCCAGATAGACTTGATTATAAAAGGAGAATGGATGTAAAGGAAATTTTTATTATGGAAAAGTACAGGTGGTTCTAGAATATATCTACACTAGGCAAAGTGGTTTGAGAAGGTGGAAGACTGAGCAGCCGTGTTCTGACTTACCACATCTCTAGACCCAACCTTGACCTGCCCTCGTTTTCCTGCTTTCAGGCCACCAGCACCCCTACCTTTCAACCACATCATTTTCACCAAGAGGGCTCACGTCCAGGCAAATGGAATGAAGCCTCTCTCTCAGGTCCCACGGTCCTGCTGTAGTATTTGGCTGACCTGTGGTTTCACCAGAATCCAGCAATTTAATCCTCTAAAGCTGAATGTGTATGGAGCTCATTCTTCTCCCTAAATATCGGCTTGTAGTGATAATCCAGGTCAAACTTGGGACCTTACCTGTCAGTGGACAGTGAGTGGAAGGAAAAAATAGCCTGCCAAGCTAAGAATCCAGGCTTCTCCAACCCTGGGAAATTTCTCTGCTAGTGCAGGCTATGTTCTATTACTGGGGCTCCTCCAGCCAGTTGGTAGTAGCTACCTGAAGTGTAATGTAAAAGAGTCTGAAACTAAATCTGGGCTTGAAGATAAAATCATGATTGATTGTTAATGTCTGCAAGGGAGAGAGTAGAAGGTGATGGTACATATGCTGTATTTGCCATCTTTCTCATCTAGTGGAGGACTTCAAAATCCCTACAAATCCACAAAGTTAAAAAAATAATAATAATACTATGAAGAAAAGCTGAAAGCCTGATTCAAAACATCCCTATTGCCTGAATTTTTGTTAAATGTGCACAATATGTGCTTACAAACTCCTGAGTGGCAGGGCCCCCTGGTGGTCACACACACCTATAGTTTCTCAAAAGGGACACAGCCATAACCCTCCCTGTCTGTAAGAAAACAAGATGAAGGGCCATTAATTTTTTTTTTTTTCCTGATACTGGGGATTAAACCTAGAGGTGTTCTACCACTAAGCTATACCCCGCCCCCAAGCTCTTTTTATCTTTTGAGACAGAGTCTCATTATGTTACCCCAGCTGGCTTCGAACTTATGATCCTCCTGCCTCAGCCTCCTGAGTAGCTGGGTTTACAGGTAGGCACACCCAGACCATTAAATTGTAATACATGCCCTGGGTCAGATCCCCAGCACCAAAAAAAAAAAAGAGAAAATTATAATACAAAACTTCGTAACAGATAAATAGTTGGAACGGCAGCTGTGACATTGAGTTCCCCCTAAATTACCTACTCAGCAAAGACAGAACAGCTCTCAACATCCAACCTAACATTCCTCCACAGACCATAGATCACAGCCCCCGTGTGCCCAGCACCCTCCTGCTCTGAGAGTCACGCTCTGGGGAAGCATGTCTGATAGTCCAAATAAAACGGTTTTCCCTAGAGTCTATGAATCCTAGGGCTGAGTGTCCCAAAACCCATCAGTGATAAATCACCTGGGGACTTGACAAGAATAAAATATCCTGTGGGTGTGGAGGCCCACACGTATAATCCCAATGACTCAGGAGGCTGAGACAGGAGGACCAAAAAAAAGTTCAAGGCCAGCCTCAGCAATTTAGCAAGGCCCTAAGCAATTTTTTTTTTAAATATTTATTTTTTAGTTTTCGGCGGATACAACATCTTTGTTTGTATGTGGTGCTGAGGCTCGAACCCGGATCGCACGCATGCCAGGCGAGCGCGCTACCGCTTAAGCCACATCCCCAGCCCGGCCCTAAGCAATTTAATGAGACCCTGTTCCAAAATAAAAAAGGACTGGGGATGTGGCTCAATGGTTAAGTGCCCCTGGGTTCAATCCCTAGCACCAAAAATAGATAAATAAATAAAAAGTCCTGGGCTACCCCAATCCCAAGATTAGACTCTCCAGGCAGGGAAGGACTCAAGAGGCTGGAAATTGGACAGGAACTGATGGTGGCTTTTATCTCCAGAAAGGTCTAGAAAAAACAGTCAAGTGTCAGTGGATGACCTCTGATGTTTTTAGAACTCAAAATTCTATGCAAACCTGAGTGCTTATCGTTTTTCCAGGGAGCGCATAGCTTTAATCATTTTCTCAAAGGGGTCTGTGAACCAAAAAGACCACCAGGAGACAGCACTGAGCAGAGCAGCACAGTCCATGACACCAGGCCACATCCTCTTGACCACTGATGTCTAGCGGCGTGCTGCCTCCAGGTGCCTGGGGAACAGTCCCCCAGTGAGTGACTGAATGAAAACACATTTGCCTCCACACATTGGTACAGATGTAGCTATGCACCTGCTATGGACAGGAGGCTGCAGGAGTGTGGATAAGGAGCAGGGCACAGCCTATTTCTGCCTTTTACTGGAAGGCTTCCTGGAGGAAGTGGCCCTGCCCTGTCATTCTTCTCATGATTTCAAGTAAAAGGTACCTGTTCAGAATACCTCCCAGAAAGAGCCGTTTCCCAGAACCCATGCCTATGTAATGCTTGTAGCCCTGAAACCTACCCCTATACCCAGGATCGCTTCCAGAAACCATACCTGACCGTTGTTCCCACCCCCTCGCAGGGCGTGAAGGAGTTCAAGTGCGAGGTGTGTGGCCGGGAATTCACACTGCAGGCGAACATGAAGCGGCACATGCTGATCCACACCAGCGTCCGGCCCTACCAGTGCCACATCTGCTTCAAGACCTTTGTGCAGAAGCAGACCCTCAAGACCCACATGATTGTACACTCACCCGTGAAGCCATTCAAGTGCAAGGTACTGGGACCTTCCACAGTGGCCGGGGTCCACTGGCTGCAGCACTGTGGCCCACCTGCAGCCAGCCCGGCCAGTGCAAGCAAGGGGTGCCCCAGCTGGGGAAAGCCTTGCCCTGGCTCTGGAGGCTGGGGTGGGCAGGTGGGGGTCAGATGCCGCTCAGGTTGTATATCTGGAGAGCGGGGGAGAAGGGGAAGGTCATGGTGCAGCCACGGAAAGGGCCCAGATCTGGGACTCTATGCAGCACAGATCTAACCCTTCAGCTTAGAAAGAGTGGTCCCCACAGGAACAGGGACCAGCAGGAGTGACATTTCTCTGCCTCTTAGGCCTCCATAGCCACATGGGAAAGGACAGATGGAGCGCTGGCTGTAGCAAATAGGGATCTCCCTCAGCTGTGGAGGAGGAGTGGGCTGCGGGTCCGGGCAGGTGGGCTCCCTGCAGGCTGATGGCACCAGCGTGGTGTTTTCCAGGTGTGCGGGAAGTCCTTCAACCGCATGTACAACCTGCTGGGCCACATGCACCTGCACGCTGGCAGCAAGCCCTTCAAGTGCCCCTACTGCTCCAGCAAGTTTAACCTCAAGGGCAACCTGAGCCGGCACATGAAGGTCAAGCATGGCGTCATGGACATCGGCCTGGACAGCCAAGGTGGGTGGGCTGTGCGCAATGGACAGAGCAGGAATGACACCAGCATGGCGCACTCGGGAGCCTCCTGTCCAGTTAGGGGAGCAGGGAGGCTGACCAAGGCTGAGGCCTCAGTGGGGTGGGCTCAGGTCTGGAGGGGGGGGGACCCTGGAGGGCCATCATGGCGATAATGATGGGATATTTATGTCTTCTTCCAAGGACTTAAATGGGCTCAAAAAACAATAATAATAATAAAAATAATCACTTACATTGATTGAGTGCTGTGTAACTCGTGATCCTCGCAGTGAGGCTGACTCTGTTATTATCCCCGGTATAAAGATACAGAAGCAGAAGGGCAGAGAAGTTAAGGAACTCCCTCCCACAAGACCACAACACCATAGGGGTGGGAGACGCTCTGTCTCATTACCATGACATCTAAAATAAGTGGTGGGGCTGCATGTGATAGCGGTGCACTCCTGTGATCCCATCAGCTCAGGAGGCCGAGGCAGGAGGATCACAAGTTCAGGATCAGCCTGAGCAACTTAGCGAGACTACTTTGAGAATAAAGTAAAAAGAGGTAGGGATATATATAGCTTAGTAATAGAGTGTGTCCTGGGTTCAAATCCCAGAACCGAAAACAATAATGATAATGATATAAGTGGATGTGAAAGAAATAACAAAGGGGAGAAAACGGTTAACTAGAAAAATAAGGGAGCCAGGCATGGGGGCACACTTCTGTAATCCCCAGTGATACAGGAGGCTGAGGCAGGAGGATCACAATTTCCAGACAGCCTCAAGAGACTTAGCGAGACCCTTAGCAACTTAGCAAGACCCTGTCTCAAAATAGAAAGGGTTGGGATGTGCCTTAGTAGTTCAGCACCTCAGGATTCAACCCTTGGTACCAGTAAATAAATAAATAATAAGGAAAGGCACAGTGAGGTCACAACTTTAAGTGCACCGTGGGAGATCTTATAGGCATTCAGAGAATGCTGGGCTTCCAAGCAGCCAAGGCAAAGAGTGTAACACAATTGGTCACAGTCCTCTCAGGGCCTGCCAAAGAGAATGTAACCTACAAACTCAGGAAACAGATGATCCTGCCATTAAAATCTGGGAGAAGTTTCCAGAGAGGAGCCTACATTTCAGCAGTTGCCAGAAGTTTCAGAAACTGTTATGAAACACCCTCAAGTGTTAACAATAGCCTCTCCCTTTAGCACTGGTCAGTAGTAAAAACACTTCTGTGAGGCCACAGTGCTGACCATTAGTCTCTGGATTCACTGTGGATAGGGTGGCTTTAAAAATTAAGAATGAAGAAGCCTAAGGCACTTCATGAAGGCTCTTCCTACAGTTTGAGCTTTCTCTGGGGCTCCTGCTGAGGCAAAATAGCCAGCATATGCCTGGGCAGTAGCCAGGTGAGTTGACTTACCCTAAGGGGTTATTCACCTAGAAATGGCTGCAGTAACTCTGACCTTGGTTTGTGAACCACTGACCAGTGAATGACCTGGGATTTCTGGCAGAAACAGGTGACTCTCTGGGATTGTTTTTCAGTAGTCCAGTAAGACTGCTTCCACTAGGTGATGATGAAACCCTTTGGCTATTGGTTTTGTGGTGCTCTGGGGAAGCATGACTGAAAAGCAAAGCCTTCCACATGCTAGGCGAGAGCTCTGTCACTGAGTCCTATCCCCAGCCCATTGCTGCATAAGTCTGCTCCCTGTAGCCCCTCGCTATTCAGAAAGTCAGCATCAGCATTGCTCAGGATCTCAGTGGAAATGTAGACCCTTGGCCCCACCCCAGACCTGCACAGTCAGAATCTGCCTTTCAAAAAGGCCTCTAGGTGATTTGTTGCACAGCGAAGTTGAGAAGCACTTAAGTCATGTAATGCTTCCGAATCTTCCCCAGAGCATGTTGAAACAAATTGCTGGGCCCCACCCCCACAGTATGTGATTCGGGAGGTCTGGGGTGGCAGTCAGACAATGTGCATTTCCAACAAGTTTCCAGGTCCTACTGAAGCTGCTGGTTAGGAATCTCATTTTGAGAACCTTTGATCTAGACCCTACAGAACTGGTTCTGAATTGGGCTGTTCACTAGAAGTCACCTGAGGAGCTTTAAAAATGCAAATGCCTGAATCTAGACCCTACAGATTCTGGAATGTGGCTTTTGATCAGGGTTGTTGTTGTTGGGCACTGGAGATTGAACCCCCCATTACTCTACCACAGAGCCACATCCCCAGCCCTTTATATTTTTCATTTTGAGACAGGGTCTCGCTGAGTTGCTTAAGGCCTTGTTAAATTGCTAAGGTTGGCCTGAAGTTTGTAATCCTCCTGTTTCAGCCTCTAGTCTCTGGGATTATAGGTGTCCACTACTGCACCCAGCATGATCAGAATATTTTAAAACACTTTGGGTGGCTCCTTAGCCAGTACACTTTGAGCTCCTATAGTGGAACTCCCACAAGAAGGGCCCAGAGCCAACTTTGCCCTTATAGAAATAACTGGGACCAGCCAGGCGGGGTGGTGGACACCTGTAATCCCACTCAGGATCCTGAAGCAAGAGGATCACAAGTTCAAGGCCAGGCTCAGCAATTCAGCAAGCCCTAAGCCATTTAGCGAGACTCTGTCTCAAAATGAAAACTAAAAAGGGCTGGGCATGTAGCTCTGTGATAGAGCACATCTGGGTTCAACCCCCAATACTGGGAAGAAACAAAGAACAAACTGGGCCATGAAAAGACTATCCCTGCCCACAGAAGGGTGGTTAAGGGGCAAGCTCCTGTGTGGTCAGTAGTCAGGGAGGCTTTGGCCGCCTGCTTCTCACATACAGCCTGGGTCTGAGAAGCCCAGACTTGATGCTGCATAGAAGGCAGCCTGTGTTCTAGGTGGGATCACCCATAAACTACATGGCTGTTATTTGGGAGGTGGAATGATGTCCTTGTTAAAATGCTGGACTGTATGCCAGGGGCAGTGTGGCCCATGACAGTAATCCCCACGGTTAAGGAGCCTGAGGCAGGAGGACCGCAAGTTTGAGGCCAGCCTCAACACCTTAGCAAGGCCCTAAATGAAAAATAAAAAGTAGCTCTGGATTGAATCCCCAGTACTCACAACACCCACAAAAAAAAAAAAAAGAAAAAAGAAAAAGCTAAACTATTCCCTGGGACCGGATAGGAACAATAATAGACTCCATAAAGTAGGGATGTTATATAGTTTCCCAGGATGCTTTATTGTATGAGGATGTGGTGCTGGGGTTGGAGGAGGAAACAGCCTAGAACCTATTAAGAGTTGTGACCGTTCGCATTATTTTATAAGGTCAGGAAGATTCGCGTGTTTCTGATGCTCTGGGAACAAATAACAGATGCCCATGCAGACTAACTTAAACAAGAAGGGGAGAATCAAGAAACCAAGTCTAGGCCATCTTCATAGATGGGAGATCCTTAACAGTGACATCGGGGATAGACTCCTATCATCTGTCCACAGTATTACCTGTGATGTTTTTCCTCATAGTTACAAGATGGCTGCCAGTGGCCATGAAAGAACTGATCTTCCTTGCTCTCATCCAGTGGAAGAATGAGCACCTGCTCCCCTTAGCTCTTTGAAACCAGTGTGAATGTTCTAAGGACTTACTAGCAGATATTTACTCATGAACCACTGACCAGAATTAGCTCACATGCCAATTCCTGAGCCATTCATTGGCAGGGGGTGGGATTACTCTTAGACTAGTGGTTCTCAATTGGGGGTGAATTTGCCTCCCAGGTAATATTTGGCCCCTGGAGAAATTTGGGTTGTCACACTGGCACCACACCACTGGCATCTAGAGGGCAGAGGCCATCCTGCAATGCCCTGGGCAGCTCCACAAAACAAAGAACTATGGCCCATGATGTCAATGGTGCCAGGGTGACGAGTCTTGCCTTGGCCTTGTCAGAGCTGTCCCCCACAAGCTGGGGCTGAACCCCCAACACAAACCATATCTCCTCAATGGACAGGGCAGAATACACTTAGGGGTTAAGCCACAGTCCTTCCAGCCAGGCTCTGGGGCCACCTGATCACACCTTGGGCCACCCTCTGTGGAGTAATCTGTCTGGCTTTTGTTACAACAGAAAGAGCTTTATAAGATTCCAATTTGATAAAATCACGAGGCCTCTTAGCATTTCTGCCTCCCACAAAGCCTTGTTAACCTACCTTGGGTGTGTCTTTGTCCTTGGAGAGCCAGTCTCAAGGATACCACCGGGTACAACTGGTTTAAAGCACTAATGCTGGCAAGAGGTCAGAGGACAAACTGCTCTGAGGCAGAACAGCACAGCAGCTCAAAACAACAGTACTTGCTGGGTGACCTCTGGCAAGCTGATTAACCTCTCTGAACCTCAGCCTTTGGATCTGCCAGCTGAGGTTGCTGTGATCATTGGATGAGATGTGTGAAGTGCCTGGTGTGCAGTTGGTGCTAAATGAGTGGCATTGCAGAGACATGATAAACTATAGCAGGTTTTCTTGTAGCAAAGTGACCAAGGAGAAACACTGAGGATTGAGAAGGACTTGAAGACTTAGAAAGGGCAATGGAAGCATGAAGAAGTTCAAGGCCAGGCCTGGGTCTCTGCCTGAGCCACTTCACTGTTAGCATCCACCCCTGTATACACAGCATTAGGAACCCGAGGAACCTGGGGCTCCCCAGAGTGGGAGGGCCAAGAGGTAGCTAGGGACCCATGGAAGCAGTCACTGGGAAATGGGGTGACCAGCTCCCCCCACAAGGACCCCCAGGCCTAACTGCACCCCTCTCTTGCAGACCCCATGATGGAGCTGGCAGGCACTGACCCCTCTGAGCTCGACAGCCAGCAGGAGATGGAGGACTTTGAGGAGAGCGCCTACACTTACGCCGGTGTGGACAGCGGTGCAGAGGCCAGCGCCCTCACCGAGCAGGCCATGAAGGAGATGGCCTACTACAACGTGCTATAGCGGGAGCCCGGCCACCCAGCACAGGGGAGGAGGCCTCGGGGAGTGGGGGTGAGACCCGGGTGCTGCAGGCCACGCCTCCTGCAGCCAGAAACAAGCTACTGCCCCACCGTCCCCAGTCCTCCCTCCCCATTTGCACCACTAGGGACCTTTACAGACCAAATGGAGACTGTACTACTGGCCTTGCTGGGAGCCAGGTGCGGGCCCAGGCATCCCTGCAAGGAAAGAGAAACCAGGAGGCCCCCTCCATGTCTCTGGCCTGCTACTGTGGGCAGGAGAGAGAAAGGCACAGGTTGGCAGGGTGTCTCAGGCCACCTCGGGCCCAGCAGAACTCTCCACAGGTCCTGGACTGCAGGAAGAGATCCCGTGAACCAGGCCTGTATCTTTCCTGGACCAACTCCTGCCTCTAGGGATGCCTGAGCTCTTCCCCTGCTGGTCAGCACTGCCCACCCCACCTGCCCAGGCCAGAAGTCCCCTTCCCCGTCTTGTCACCAGACAGCCAGGCAGGGCACTCTGCCTTCTACCTCCTGGGCATGCGTGTGGCCCTGGCCTGCAGGAAAGCTGGAGGAGCCCAGCCCCCAGCTAGTGCCCTCCCAGATGGTCCCCAGAAGACCCCTGTCCTATAGCCCTGTTTGGAAGTGAGTGCCCCTGAAGTGAATCGTGACAAATATCATCCATTCTGTCCTGGGCTAGGGCACCACATCAGGGTCCCCCACCAAACAAAATGTAGACACACCTGTGTTAGGCACACTCTAACAAAGACACAGAGGATGGGCAGGGTGAAGACTTCACTGGGGACCAAGAGGGACTGTCCTCAAGGGAGGCCAAGGGCCACGTGTGGGAGAAGGAGACTAAAGTAGTTTCTTAAGAACAGGTGTGCATTTTGAGGGTGGGGTTAGCCAAGAGTCCTCAGGCTCCTAGGAAAGAGTAACATATTTAAAAAGGAAAATGAAGACCATAGAGGGAGTTTGTTTTTTTTTTTTTTACTAAATGGGGGTATTTTGAAGGTAATTTATTATTATTTTTTTTCTTTCCAACTCTGTGTCACTTGTTCTTTTTTCAAGGAGAAGCATTCTTTTTCCAAATGTAAGCTTTGCGTGCTGTGCGTGCTTCATGCCTCCCCACCCAGAGCAGCCCGGCTGGGCTGGACCTGGGCTCAGTGGGGACTGATGCTCTGGCCCAGAAGGCGCAGCTGTTGGCAGGGAGCCTCAGCAGGCCGGGTGGGAGACAGGGCAGGCAGAGGCCGGGCAGCCCTCCAACCTGCCCAGCCCCTCCTGCTGGTGACAGCTTTAGACCACGCACAGTGGCCAGGGCTGCTGACTCTACTTAGCCAGCAGCCCCCTCCCTAGCCCACCTGCTTTCATCCCCCATCCCCACACCAGCTCCTGTCCCTAAACAGAAGCCCACAGACCCAGGGCGGTGAAATAGCACATTCAGGAACTCTAGGGCACCCAGATTCCCGCCCACTCACCTCCTGAGGCCTCAGGTGGGGAGGGGCAGGCAGGGCTGTCCCTGAAGGCACAGGTGAAGCCAGGAGTGGGGACAGCTGGACTGGGGAGACCAGTTGAAATGCAGCTATACCCCCAAGGCTGTTTCCCTAAGTGAAGGACCAAGCCAGGCCTCAGGGTGACTGAGATCAGGTGGGGTTGGGGGTGGACACACAGTGGCCCCAGTGTGGCTCCCTAGGCCCCAAGGCCCCCAGCCTCCCAGGTGCCCGCCATGATGACCCTCAGGTGGCAGTGACTGCGGCGTCACTGTACAAGACATTTTCTCCTGCTGAGCAGAAGGTATCGCCCCTGCAAACTACCTCTTCCCACAATGTCTTTCTCCCCTGGTACCAAAAAGAACCCTGTACCTCCTCCTCCCTCCCGCCAGCGCAGTGCCCTTGGTCTTGGAAACCGAAGGGAGAAGGTCTGGCCTGGTGTGGGGGCTCTGCGCTCTCCCCAGCCGATGTCAGCACTGGCCCTCCACGAGGTCCCATACTTGAACGCCCCTGCCCTGTGCCTTGTACCTGGGCAAAGTGAAGAGGAGCGGAGCACAACTTGGTGGAGCTGGGGTGGCCTTGCAAGGCTCCTGTCCTCACCCCTCCCCAACCTTCTCAGAAGGGGCCTGCGGCCTCCCAGTGACTCAAACTCCCGGACAAATTCCATTCTAACTTATTTTGACGTGTATACAAACCAACTGTTTAGAGAGTCCACTTGTGCAAAGCCCTACTGTGATTTTATGTTCCTGTTTAAAGAGAGGTTTACTTAGCAATAATTATAAATAAACAAATATTCTTTAGCGAGGTGATTATAAGTGCTTCTTTCCACAGATTTTGGGGATGTCCCACATAGCAGAGCAAGCATCACTCTCCAGGGGCTGGAGGGGGCCGGAACTGTCCTCTATACTAGAATGGTCACCTGCAGTGTCAGGTGCCTGCAGCGAACTGCACCAAGAGCAAAAGAAAGGGGGGCAGGCCAGGGCCCCAGAAGTCCCACCACTTGCAGAGAAAAGCTGTTCCACCTCCCTGTGCACCCCTCACACCCCAGGACAGAAACCAGTTCATGATGCCAGGCTGCACTTCGGAAGCTGCCTTCTTGGGAAATGCCAGCCCTTTGCTGAAGACAGGCAAGAGGCCAGAAGTCTTGTGCTTTCTCTTGAGTCGGGCCTGCCAGAGCCAGCACTGCAGCTTCTCTTCCTATAAGGCTGGGGATCTGAGGGGACTGGTGAGGAAGAAGAGGGGTGCATAGAGCCACTGAGGCATCAAGAGCAATGGTTCACAGCCATGGGGAGTCAAAGGTCCCACCAATACTCAGGAAGTGGAATTTGGTATCTCTGGGGTATTGGTTCCAGGGTCTCCGACTCTGTGGATACCAAAATCCAAAAAGTCTCAAGTCCCTTATGTAACAGAACCTATTCACCTCCTCTCATATACTTTTAATTTTTTAGTACCGGGGATTGAACCCAGAGGTGTTAAACCACTGAGCCACACCCCCAACACTCTTTGTTTGTTTTTTCACTAAATTGCTTAAGTCATCACTAAGTTTCTGCGGCTAGCTTGAACTCACAATCCTCCTGTCTCAGCCTCCCAAGAGGCTGGGATTACAAGTGTGGGCTACCACTCCCGGCATCCTCTCACATACTTTACATCATCTCTAGATTTCTTGTAATACCTAAGACAATGTATATAAGAATTGTCATAAACCAGGTGCGTGGTAGGCCTGTAATCCCAGCTACTCAGGAGGCTGAGGCAAGAGGATCAAGTTCAAGGCCAATTTAGGCAACTAAGCAGGACCCTGCCTCAGAATAAAATTAAAAGGGCTGGAGGCTTAGCTCAGTGGTAGAATATTTGCCTAGCATTTGTAAAGCACTGGGTTCAATCCCCAGTGCCAGAAAAAGAGAGTTGTCATATTGTATCATTTAGGGAATAATGACAAGGTGGGAAAGTCCTACACATGTTCAGAACATATGCAACTATTTTTCCCAAATATTTTTAATCCAAGAATGGTTAAATCCACAGATGCAGAACCTCTTGATACAGAGGGCTGGCTATGTTTATTTTATCAAATAAAGATTATTCAACTCTCCCCCAGGACATTTTAACACCAAAGAATAAAAATATAATCATTGCACAGAGGATAATGCTTTAAATCAAAGACAGGTAGCAGTACTGAGGATGGAACCCAGGGCCTCACACATACCAGGCAAGGTGTTCTACCACCAAGCCACATCCTCAGCCCTGGGGCAACTTTTTAATCTCCTTCATGTCTAGTTTTGCCAAAATGAGGTGGAAATGAACCCAAGTCTCAGAACCACTGGTCTAGTCTACAGGAGGTCCCCTTTCAACAGGCCCTGCGAAACCCAGGCAGCCCTGCAAAGCAGGCATTGGGTAGTTTTCAGTATAGAGAGAAGGATAAACAAAGGTCTGGAGATGTTTAGAAGGTTAAAACCAACCAACAACCTCAAAAATCATTATTATTATTAACAAGTGGTCTATCAGAAAGCAACAGAAACTCAAAATGGAGACCCAGATACAATGGCTCATCCTAGAGAATTCTAGGAAACCCACAGGCCTGTGTCCACAGAGTCCCAGAAGCTCCTCTAGCAGCTCCTACCTACCCTGTGCTGGCCCAAGATGCTCTGGCCTGTCCCTGGTGGAACCCACCAGCTCTAAGAGGGCCTCTGCCTCTGGCCCCGGCTGCCTCCTTCCCCTCAGGGACAAACACAGCAGACAGTTTTGTGAAGAGCTTTTTAGTTGCTAAATATGGCACCATGTGCACCAAGGGCAATATAAATTACAGTATGCCAAACATACTGACTGGCTGAGGTAAAGCACACTGTTCCTGCCTCACGTCACCGTGAGGGGAAACATACTTTTAAAAACATACTTTTAAAAACATCTTGCTTATAAAAATATGTCCCCTAGAAAGGCCTCCAGAGAGGGGCTGTGAAGCTCACCCTCTACCTCGTGTCGGGAGGACCAGCTGCCGGCTCTGCTCCGGCCTGTCCGCCGCCACCCCCAGGCAGCGCCTCCCCTACTGCTTGCCCAGAGCTCTGTCCAAGTTGGTCTTGATGGTGTCCAGGAAGTCTGTGGTGTTTAGGAAGTGTTCATTCAGCTTCACACTGCCAAGAAAACACCATTCGCATTAGAGGGCAGCTCCAGGCCTCTCCAAGGCCATCAGCAGGGAACTTCCAGGGCACAGCCTGAACCTGGGCATCAGAGTAGCCTAATCATGCCACCCAGGCTTGCGCCAAAAGTTACCTGCAGCCCGCTGCCAAAGAGCCACAGCAAATTCATCAAAAACCTAATAGGGTCTTTTTTTTTCCCCCCCTAGGCGGCAGGTAACTGGGCACAAGCTCTCCTGGAAGAAAGTGGGAGACAGATGGTTCGGGAACAGGTGGAGCAGCCAGCCAGTAGGGACCAGCTCACTGGGCCTGGTCTAGGGTGGCTCAACCTGAATCATTCCTCAGGGCTATGGACTTGTCCTGCCCCAGGCCCCTGGACTCATGAGAGGGACTCATTAGAGGGTCCCCTGGCTTCCTCCCACCTGGCTCTGAGGTCGCAAAAGGACACCCTTGCCCTCTGCCCAGGCCACGCACTTGCTAAGGCCATGGATGCAGCCGGCCAGGTCCTTGGTCATGGCGCCACTCTCCACGGTCTCCACGCACACCTTCTCCAGAGTCTGTGCAAACCTGCAGGGGTCGGGGCAGAGGGAGAGCCCAGCTGTGCAAGGCCAGGACCCAGACTCTACCCTGGGCCAGATCGGCCCCTCCCTCATCACTTACCTGATGAGATCCTGGGTCCCATCCAACTTTCCCCGGTGTTCCAGGCCCCGCGTCCAGGCAAAGATGCTGGCGATAGGGTTGGTACTGGTCGGCCGGCCCTGGGGATAGGGCCGCAGGGATCAAGCGCTGAGTCGGCGCTTGAGAAGCTCCTGAGATGTAGCTGCCCACTTCTAGACTGATGGACCAGGCCCACCCGCTAGCCATCAGGGCCGGCAGGCTGTGGCCTCTGGGGTGGATTGCCATCATGCAGCCACATGTCCCACACTCACTTTCTGGTGCTCCCGATAATGACGGGTGACTGTCCCATGAGCAGCTTCAGCCTCAATGGTCTTCCCATCGGGGCAAACAAGCACGGACGTCATCAGGCCGAGGGAGCCGAAGCCTGAAGGGTGGGAAGACCCTCGTCAGTGCTGGCACCCTAGGTCACACACCGAAGGTGGAATCCCACCTACCCCCTTCACCTGCTGTTGTAATTGCTCCCGGACATTAGACCCTCACCCACCCCAACTGAAACCAGGACAGGGACTACATGGCGCATGTCCACCCTTGCTGTGGGTCTACAGGGTCCCCAGAGAGCAGGAGGCCCTCAAAGTGACTAGCACCAGAATACTAACACGAATCTATGTCCCCACCTCCAGGCACCCCAGAGTTTGACACCCAGCACCTAAGACCCCACAGAGTCCTGAGCCTCCCAGGAAGCTGCATCAAGCAGAAAAAATAAAGCAGCTGGCGGCTATTTCACAGTGACCACTTTCTGCTTCTCTGAGGCCACTTTCAAGCTTTGGGATTTATTTCCAAACTTTCCCAAATCCAGATGTCAGCTCAAATGACCTTTTCCATTACCATGGCTCTAGAGTTTCAAAACTACCTCCGACCACCAAAGTAAGGATTGTGAAGGTCCAAGAAGAAGTGGGCCTTCTTTGGCAAAATGATTTGTCAAGGCTGGGATGTGGCTCAGTGATAGAGCACTTGCCTAGCATGTGCAAGGCCCCGAGTTCAAACCCCAGGCCCCCTCAAAAAAGAAAGAAAAGAAAATGCTTTATGTCTGATTTATTTATTTGTTTGTTTATTTATTTGTTCATTCATTCATTCATTCTTCCTGGTATTAGGGATAACACTCAGGGAATTTACTATTGAGCTACATCACCAGCCCTTTTTATTTTATTTATTTATTTGTACTAGGGATTGAACCCAGGGGTATTTAACCACTGAGCCATATCCCCAATCCATTTTATTTTTTTATTTAGAGATGGGGGTCTCAATAAGTCGCTGAGGCTGGCTTTGAACTCATGATTCTCCTGCCTCAGCCTCCTGAGTCCTGAGTCACTGGAATTACAGGTGTGTGCCACCACACCAGCTCAGCGCTTTTTATTTTGAGATAAAAGTCTCACTCCGTTGCTGAAGCCAGCCTCCTTTGCCATTTTTACCTAGACCTTTGTGCTCACCAATTCTTTATATACTTAATGTTAATTTTCACACTTTTCTTGTTTGCTTTGGATTTTTTTTTTTTTCTTTTGACTGGTGACAACCCAGGGTATGCTAAGCACGCACTCCACCTCTAAGCTACACCCCTGGTCCCTGCTGTGACTTTTCATCTTTCCATCCAGATGGGAGTTGCTCTGATGAGAGGATCAGCAGTAAACTTTTGGAAATAAAACCAAAGGTTTGTAGAAAACAAGACCTTTTCATTGCACCCTGTCATGTGCTTCCATGTCCCCGTCATCAGGAGCTGCACCTCACGGACCTCATTGTCACCTTCTCTTTCCTTTTCATCCTTCACCTGCCCCCACCACCTTTCTTGCTTGTTTCCCACAAATTGGGCTATTCTCACTCTTCTCTAATGATATCACCCGCGCTTTCAGCTGCAGTCCAGGCTGGGGTTTACCATCTCCCCCTATATTCTCGTACTTCCCTGAGGTTCACTGTACAAAATGCACTCCTGTCATTTAGGAAGCATCCACCTGTAATCCCAGCAACCCAGGAGGCTGAGACAGGAGGATGGTAAGTTTGAGACCAATGTGGGCAACTTAGTGAGACCCTGTCTCAAAAAATAAAAATACAGGAGTGAGGGTGTGGGGTGGTAGAGCCTCCCAGTGCTCCCTATTTTCCTACTGTTGCCAAATAAGTCAAGTAGCCCCAGAATGAGTTCCTGTTCCCTTTCCTCTGAGGCCAGCCTTAGTAATACACTAGTCCAAATCTAGTTTGTGGACCTCCTTCACTCATTGCCTGAGAGTCTGCAATAAATCCTGCCACAACCCTTGAGTTTTCTATCCAAAGGACCTGAAAATTTCCCAGCCAGAAGATCAACAGCCCATCCCTGCAGTGAGTGTGTCCTCCCAGCTTACCCTGGGCCAGGATGTCCGACTGCACGTCCCCATCATAGTTCTTGCAGGCCCACACAAAGCCACCTGAAGACTTGAGGACCTGGGCCACCATGTCGTCGATGAGCCGGTGCTCATACCAGATCTTATTCTTGTCAAAATCAGTCTTATAGTGCCTGGCAGTAAAAGGGCTTATTGTAGGGAGAGGACAGGAGGTTGGCAGTTTGGGGACCCCTCCCTGAGCCTCAGAGCTGAGCAAATGCATTGGGATAGTGACCTCCCCAGGTAGGACAGAACAGCACACAGGAGCTGGGAAGCAGAGGAGTTCTCAGAAAACAGGAAAATAATAGGCTGTTACTTGTCAAAGATCTCCTGGAAGATGTCCTTGAAACGCCCATCATAGGCCTTCAGGATGGTGTTCTTGGTGCTCATGTACAACGGCCATTTCTTCTGGATTGCATACTGAAAGCAGCTGTGCGCAAAACCCGAGATGGACTGCAAGGAGAAAGAGGGTCCCAGCATGGTCCCCCAGCCTGGGGACTTCCAACTCTCCCAGTATCCCAAGGCCAGGCCCAGCTCTCTAGAAACCGCATCCCCAGTCTCCAACAACCACTAGCCCTAGCGGTTATAGAGTGGGCATCTGCTGTTTCTCATCTCCCTCCAAATTTGGAGAAGCAAGCAGCCCTCCAACTTTACCTTGGAAAACCACCTCACCCTCTCCAATTCTTAGGCCATGTGGCTCAGGGAAGGCAAATTCCAAGCAGGCAAGGGATAACCCTGGAGCTACTGGTGGCCATCTCTGCCTCTCGCTGGCCTGAGAATGAGGCCAACACAGAAAAAGGGAAAGCCACAGACAGAGGGTTGGACAGGCTGGGGAAGGAGAGCGCTCGGGCCTCACCTCATCGGTATTGTACATGCCCATGCCTACGCCGCCCGCAGGGAAGTTGTACACCTCCCACTCCTTGGCTCCACTGCCATCCTTTGGAGTGAAGACCATCTTGAATGTGCCAGCTCGGTCTACCACAAAGTCTGTGGCTTTGTACTGCAGAGACAAGAAGATGGCTCAGGCCAAGGCTCCCATGGTGGGCCCAGGTCCACAGACTCAGTCTCCAGCTGGCCTACCTGGTCACCATGAGCATGCCTGCCAATGGTGATGGGCTTGGTCCAGCCAGGGACAAGACGGGGGATATTTTTGCAAATGATGGGCTCTCGGAAGACAGTCCCACCAAGGATATTCCGGATGGTTCCATTGGGACTCTTCCACATCTTTTTCAGCTTGAACTCTGTGAGAAGAGATATGAAGTAGGTCCACGGCAGCCACTCCTTCCAGTCAGAACTTGAACCCCAAGCAACAACACAGCCAGACGGGAGCCTGAAAGTCATCCTGAGGGAGGTTATAGGGTCTAGAGTATAAACATGTGGGCTCTGGAATCCACTTACATAAGTGGCTTAGTTATAAAACAAAATTACTGATAAAATACCTAGCCTGCTGGGTTGTGAGGACAGAATGAGCTTGTGTATAAAGTGCCCGGATCAGTGGCTGGCCCATAGCAAGTGCTCTGTCCACCTTAGTTCCACATCCTGCATGGGGGTAGTGCAGCCTGAGGGAAAGAACTTGCCTGATGGATCTGATAACCCACTGCTTCACTCCCGAGGCTCTGGGACTGGCCCCAACACTGGCCAATTTACCAAAACCATGACCCTCTATTTCCTTGTCCATAAAAATGGGGATATACAAATCCCAGGATTTGGAAGAACTAAAAAAAAAAAAAAAGCTCAATATTAAAGTGACTCCAATACTCTATGGCCAGGTCTGATCTAGAAAACAGGAGGTGGCCTGCAGAGTTTGAAGATGTACCCTGAATGCTTCCTTCTCACTTCTTCATAGTGCAGGAATTAAGAAGAGTTCAGAGAACTCCTCAACCATCTTTTATTTATTTATTTATTTATTTATTTATTTATTGTGCTGAAGATTAGACCAGAGGCACTTTATCACTAAGCCCTTTAATTTTTTTTTTTTTTTTTTTGTACAAGGGATTGAACTCAAGGGCACTCAACCATTATGCCACATCCCCAGCCCTATTTTTGTATTTTACTTAGAGACAAGATCTCAGAGTTGCCTAGCGCCTCACCATTGCTGAGGCTGGCTTTGAACTAGTGATCCTCCTGCCTCAACCTCCCAAGCCACTGGGATTACAGGTGTGCGCCACTGTGCCCAGCAATTTTTTTTTTTAAGTACAGGGAATTAAAGCCCGGGGTGCTTTAATTTATTTTATATTTTGAGTATTTTATATTTTGAGACACGGTCTCACCAGGCTTCATGGCACACGCCTGTGATCCCAGCGGCTTGTGAAGAGAATTGAAAGTTCAAAGCCAGATTCAGCAATTTAGCAAGGCCCTAAGCAATTTAGCAAGACTCAGTCTCAAAATTAAAAAAAAAAAAATTAAAAGGGCTGGAAATGTGGCTCAATGGTTGAGCACCCCTGGGTTCACTCCCCAGTATCCAAAAAAAAAAAAAAAAGAGAGAGAAAGACATGGTCTCATTAAGCTGCTGAGTCTGGCCTCGAACTTGTGATCCTCCTGCCTCGGCATTCTGAGTCACTGGGATTACAGGCATGTGACACCACACCTGGCTCAACCATCCTTCTTAAAATATTGAAATCTGGCCCCTTTCTCCACACTCTGGTATCATTTCACAGAACCTTGAGAAAGGCCCCCGAACTCAAGGACAGTAACCAGGCCAGGTTTACAGGGGCACCTCTCAGAGATCCATACATGATCTCCAGGGCACTGTAATGCCATGAGAGTGGCAGGGGGGCACTAGTGACGCTTCCCAAGGACCTCTGAGACTCCCAACACACAGCCTTCCTCTGCACAGCCTCTCCGTCCACCAGCCTACAAAACAGGTCAGGTCAGAGGGATGAGCTGCCCAAAGTCCAGCTCTCTGGATGGACTCCCAGGTCCAAAATCAGCAACATAGCCAACCACCCTCACTGACCTTGAGAGGCTGGCCAGGGGAGCCCATGACCCTCCCCTATCCAACCCCCTCCACACCCTCACACCTTCCACACGGGCCTCATCAGGGGTGATGGTGGCACACTTGACAGCCACACTATATTTCTGGGTGGCCAACGCGGAGTCAATGGTGACCTGGTCATCAGTCTGGTCACGATTTGGAAGCCCGAGGTCAAAATACTTGAGCTGGACGTCCACATGAGGCAGGATAAGCTAGGGAAGATGGCCAGAGCAAGGCATCAGCCCAACAGCTATGACTTGGGGACAGGACAACAGGGATGCGAGAACCCGTGGGCCATGGCAGGGGACATCCAGTCAGTGTGGGGACGAGGGAAGAAGGCCAGTGGAGGAGGCACAGCAGAAAGTCGGGGTCAGTTATTCCTCAGCAGAGCCTAGGGAGGGCTGGCAGGAGGCTGGGACTCTGGAGAGAGGCCAGCAGGTCAGGCTGCTGTCCTTTGGTGGACTTCCCCGTGTGCCCCTACCATGGCCATCAAGTCAGCTGAACCCCAAGTCCAAGTTCATCTAGATTCCTCTATACAGTGAGGTCCTCCTTTGCCTCCAACGGCTTTGAGAACTTCACAATCAGAAGTGGCAGTCTCAACCTTTCTCCCATGGACCTTCACTCAATAGGGGACCTTCATGTGGACAACAGACCATGGCAACTTCAGAAAAGCCAAGTCATCACCCTGAGAACCGTTAGCTGGGACACTGTCCTGCACATAGCCCTGCTCTCCTTTCAACTCCTTCGCAAAGAAATACAGCAAAAATGTGCAAGATTAAGACAGAAATGACATGGGGGGGGTCAGCCTTAAAGACGTTCCAAGTTTGAAAGTCACGCAAGCTTCGGCACCAACATGAGACAGATGGGCCCTCTCCCTGCTTAATGGCTAAGAACCATTAATGGCCCACACATGAAAGCAGGATGATCAGAAGGTGAGACACAGGACTGCTGTTGTCCACCTGGACACCCGAGACCTTGTGGGACTGAAAGCTGCCTGGCCAGTTCACCTGGAGAGCCACCCACTTTAGGAAGGGGCCCTACCTTCTCTTTAATGAACTGCCAGATGATGCGAGTCATCTCATCACCATCCATCTCCACCACCGGCTTCGCAACCTTGATCCTCTTGTCTGCATCTAGAACCAGGCACATGCAACACATCACGCCGCTGGAGAGGTTAGTGGGAAACCCCTCTTCTCCCATCCAGGCCTGCCTTTCACCAAAGAAGGAGCACTGGACAACCAGGCCTCCAGCTGCCCAGTGTCTACTCCCCATTTTGCAGAAGTTGCTCCTTGTTTGGGAGACCTGGGTCCCCCACTAAATATACCAGGTAAGATTAGCCAGAGAGATGCCCATCCCACCCCTGGTCAAGGGAGTAAGGTCCATGGCCAGTCAGATCCCCTCTCTCTGGAATCTCAAATCAGAAGACACCAGCAGGGATGACTGCCAGCTAAGCCACCTTACCCAGCATCAAATCAGGGAAAGGTTGTCCATGAGCTCCTGCTACCCAGTTCCTCAGGATGGCCAGACATCCCCCTTGTCCAAGATTCAGTTCTTTTTGGTTTTCTCTGTACTTCTATGAGGTACCTTGTGTCCTTCCAATAAAATCCTCTAAGTTATCCAGTCACTATTTCCATTGTTTACAATATGAGAGTCCCTGGCTAACTGCGGTAAGGAGGGAATGGTACAGAAATATGTTGTGTGCCTACAATGTGCCCATAGTGTAACACCCCTTTACACCCCGATTCCATTTAACAACAAAAATAGCCCCAAGGGAGGTATCGTTAGCTCCACTTTATCTTTTATTTTTTATTTTTTATGTTTTAGTACTGGGGATAGAACCCAGAGTCACTTAACCACATCTCCAGCCCTTTTTTATATTTTGATACAGGGTCTCTCTAAGTTGCTTAGGGCTTTGCTAAGGTGCTAAAGCTGGCTTTGAACTCATGATCCTCCTACCTCAGCCTCCAGAGCCGCTGGGATTACAGGTGTGTAATCCCAGCTGGCTCCACTTTAAATGTGGAGAAATGGGCTGCGGATGTAGCTCATAGTGTAGTACTTCTCTAACATGAGCAAAGCACTTCAATCCCCAGCACCACAAAAGAAAAAAAAAAGTGGGGAAACTGAGGCTCGGAATTCAGAAACAGCAGAACCAGGACTTGAACCTTATTCAATAAGAAGGACAGACTCATGGCACCTGCAAACAGAACTCAGAATCCCTGATCCAGGTTGGCTCAGATATGTCAGTCCTTTCAGAGAAGCATCAAAGACACAGCAAGTGGCTAATGAGAAGCCCAGGGAGGTGGTACAGAGGCAAAGAGGAGCCAGGGAGGCTCTTCTAGCAAAGTTTGACTTCCAAGAAAAACCAGCAGTCTGAGAAGTGAATTCCAAAGAAAACTCGAGAAAATGGCCCATTTAATTAATAGGTGCATGCTGTCATGGACAAGACTTGCTGAATCCTACCTAGCCTGCAGCAGACAGAGGCACCAACATGTCCCACTACCCACAACCCGAAAAGAAGCCACTCCTGGGGAGTAAGACAAGAGCTACATAAAACTTCAATCATCCCCAAAGGAGCACTCTGGAGCCTCACCTATGGTCCACTTACTGTTAGGTTACACACAGTGTTTACAGATGTTGTGTGTCTTCCAACCTCAAGAAAGATTACACGCAGCAAATCAGACAAAAGAAAAAAGACACTGAACTGGGGGTTATAGCTCAGCAATAGAGCACTTGCCTAGCACGCATAAGGCCCTAGGTTTCATCCTCATTACACTCAGAAGGTATGGCCACCTGGGCACATTTAAAACAAGTGACTAGCTGGGCGTGGCGGCACACTCCTGTAATCCCAGTGGCTCGGGAGGCAGGAGGATAGTGGGTTCAAAGCCAGCTTCAGCAATGGTGAGCCGCGAAGCAACTCAGTGAGACCCTGTCTCTAAATAAAATACAAAATAGGGCTGGGGATGTGGCTCAGTGAACAAGTGCCTCTGACTTCAATCCTCAGTGACACACACACACAAAAAAAAAAAACAAAAAACAAAGATCAAAGCCTAATAGACCTCAAATATATCACTGTCATACAATACACACCTTGGCTGGACTCATGATGACACCCATAAACAACGGCTAACATAATCCTTAAATTATATCCTTTCCTTTTTCCCTGTTTTTTTTTTTTTAAACTGGGATGGAACCCAAGACCTCATGCATGCTAGGCGAACACTCTTCCACTTAGCTACATTCTCAGACCTAAGAAAAACATTAAATAATACACAAAAAACAATTAATTCACTTTCCAAAGAAATGCAAACCGTTTTTTGGTTTGTTTGTATGTTTATAAAAAGCATCTTAAAGATCACTTAAGGAGAAAAAGAGAGGCCCAGGTAATGTGGTTTGTGTCAGAGGCAGGACAGAACCAAGTCCTTGACTCAAGTGCAGTTTTTGGAAGTCCTAGTGGGTCAGATGTGGAAAGGCAGAAAGAAAACACAGATGCAAAATACTACATTCCCTAGAGAACAAAAGCCATGCACACTGGGCCCCACTGCCCTTCTCAAGATGCAGTGGAGATTTTGGACCCACACTACAAAATTCCTTCACTTTGATCTGAAGCTTGAGTGGGAAGAGGCTTGGGACTGTAGAAAATCCACTGGTCTGTCCTTGAACTTTGTTTTGTTGTTGTTGGGTTTTCTTTATTCTTTCTTTTTTTTTCTTGGGGGAGGGGGGGAGACAGTTTACTAGGAATTGAACCTGAACCTAGGGTCACTTTCCCACTAAGCTACAACCCCAGCCCTTTTTATTTTGAGACAGGGTCTCACTAAGTTGCTGCAATCCTCCTACCTTTGCCTCCTGAGTCATGTATAACACCACGCCTGGCTAAACTAGTTTAGTTTTTTGGTTTTTTTTTTTTGTACCAGGGATTGAACTCAGGCGCATTCGACCACTGAGCCACATCCCCAGCCCTATTTTGTATTTTATTTTCAAAGACAGGGTCTCAATGAGTTGTTGCTGAGGCTGGCTTTGAACTCGAGATCCTCCTGCCTCAGCCTCCCAAGTGGCTGGGATTATAGGCATGCACCACTGTTCCCAGCCACTAGTTTAGTTTTTTTTTCTTTATATTTTTATTTATTTATATATATGTGGTGCTGAGGATCGAACCCAGGGCCTCACATGTGCTAGGCAAGGGCTCTACCACTGAGCCACAACCCTAGCCCTAGTTTAGTTTTATTTATTTATTTATTTATTTATTTTTTAGTTTTCGGCGGACACAACATCTTTGTATGTGGTGTTGAGGATCGAACCCGGGCCGCACGCATGCCAGGCAAGCGCGCTACTGCTTGAGCCACATCCCCAGCCCCCCCTAGTTTAGTTTTTATAAGCATCTTCTATGAGTTAATTTGAGGACAGCTAACTAAAAGTTGTTAAAACTGAACCTACCTGGGCATGGTGGCACACACCTATAATCCCAACAGCCTGAGGCTGGAGGAGGAACATAAATTTGAGGCCAGCAACTTAGTGAGACCCTGTCTCAAAATTTTTAAATAAATAAATAAATAAATAAAGAGAGCTAGAGATATAGTTCAAAGGTAGAGCACCTGTGGGTTCCATCCCCAGTACAGAAAGAAACAATTAAATAGAGAACTGAAACTATATCATAATTGGGACCACTAACGAGAAACTCACCTGGGGGCCAATTCTAAAGATTTCAGCCACTGAATTAGGGCTCCACTGAATTGGGCTTCAGGCAGGTAGGCTGAGGATCACACACACACACACACACACACACACACACACACCACACCACACAGCTGGGGTAGGTCAGGATCAAGATCATGGTGCTGGGTCTGGAGATTTAGCTCAGTTGATAGAGTGGCTTGCCTTGCATGTCCAAGGCCATAGGTTCAATCTCCAGCACCAACAACAAAAAAAAGATGATGGTCCTGGATTGGGGATGTGGCTCAGTGGTAGAGCGCTTGCCTACCACAAATATATATATATTTGTCAATGGATCTTTATTTTATTTATTTATACACAGTGCTGAGAATCAAACCCAGTACCTTACACTTGTTAGACAAGTGTTCTATCACTGAGCCACAACCGCAGCCCAGCAAATAATAATTTTAATAAAAGGGCAAAGACTTGAACAGACATTTCTCCAAAAATGATATATACTTTTGTATATCATTCACACCTGGAAAATACTTAACATCACTGATCACTAGGGAAATGCAAATCAAAACCAAAATGAGCCAGCGTCATTACACCTGTAATCCCAGCAATGTGGGAGGCTAAAACAGGAAGACTGCAAATTCAAGACCAGCCTGGACAACTCAGTGAGACTCTGTCTCAAAATAAAAAGAGACGGGATGCAGCTTAGTGATAAAGGGCCCCTGGGCTAAGTTACCTGTGTGGGTAACTTAGGAGGCAAAGTCTCAAAATTTAAAAAGGGCTCTGGGGCCAGGTGCAGTGGCCCACGCCTGTGAGGCACTGGGTTTGATCCTCAGCACCATATAAATGTAAAGTAAAGATATAAAAACTAAATGTAGGGCTGGGTTTGTGGCTCAGTGGTAGAGCGCTCGCCTAGCACGTACCAGGCACTGGGTTCGATCCTCAGTACCACATAAATGTAAAATAAAGATATTGTGTCCACCAAAAACTAAAAAATAAATAAATAAAAACTAAATGTATATGTTTTTAAAAAAGGACTGGGGATATAGTTCAGTGATTAAGTGCCCCTGGGTTCAATCCCCAATACAATAAATAAATAAATAAACAAACAAGCAAACAAACATAAAAATAGGAAGAAAACTCGGTCACCAAGCTATAATACAGATGAAACTTGTGGGCATTATAAATGAAATAGTTATAAAAAATCATATTTTTTACAATTAGTACATTGTTTTTCTTATTTATTTATTTTTTAATGTAGTGTTGAGGATCAAGCCCAGTACAACCCCAGCTCCACAAAAGATAAATTCTATATGATTCTACTTATATAAGATGAGTCAAATTCACAGAAACAGAAAGTAGAATGGTGGTTGCCAGAGACTGGGGGGAGGGGGAGGAGGCAAAGGGGAATTAGGGTTTAGTGGATATAAAGTTTCAGTCTCCCAAGATGAAAAAGGTCTGGAGATGGCTGGTGGTGATGGTTATTCAACACTACTGAACTGTACACTTTAAAGAAAAGAGTTAATATGGTAAATATTAAGTTATATTTTTGCCAAAATAAAAAAAGCAAAAATAATAAGAATTTAAACCAGCCCTCCCTATTTAAAAAAAAAAAAAACACAGGAGATTTTACATAAAAATATAACTACACAGGTGCTAAGCACAAGGACCCTCTCCACTTCCTACCATGCAGCTCTGACCAAGAGGCTGCATGTCCCAACAAAGGATCAGAATGTGGGGGAAGCCCCCAATTCCTTTGAAGCCACTCAAGTATCTTCCTGATTTCACTCCTCCCTTTCTCTTACACCCACATACAAAGTATCAACAAACCCTACTGGCTTTCTTCAGTATACATCCAGAATCCGGCCAGTTTCTCCCCACAGCCCCACCACCCAGGTCCAACCAACCAGAATCTCCTCTGGCCAGGGTACGACCATTACCTCCTACCAGGTCCCTAAAACCAGGGTGTCCCCGTTAAGACCTAAGTCAGATCAAAGCACTCTCCTCAAAACCCTGCAAAGCCTCCTTTTTCTCTCAGAATAAAGGCCAAAGTCCTCAAAAATGTCTTAGAAGCTACGGGTGTGGCTCAGGAGCAGAGGGCTTGCCTAGCTTGTGCAAGGCCCTCAGTTTGATCCCCAGCACACTACATAAATAAATAAATAATGCCTAGAAGCTGGGCGTGGTGGTGCACACCTGTAATCCCAACGGCTCCAGAGGCTGAGGCAGGAGGATTTTGAGTTCAAAGTCAGACTCAGCAACTTACCAAGTCCCTAAGCAACTCAGTGCAACCCTGTCATGAAATAAAATATTTTAAAAAGAGCTGGAGATGTGGCTCAGTGATAAAGTGCCCCTAGGTTCAGAACATTCCTGGTACCAAATATATACATACTTAGAGCCCTTCACTGATCTTCCTGCTAAACCTCACTCATCTGTCATTCAACCCAGTGCTCCTCTTCCGCTCCTACATGGAATTCTTGACACTTGCAGGTCCTCTTTCCCTGATACCTGAATGGCCTGCTTCTTCCCCTTTTCAGCACTTAATTCTCTGAGGTCTTCTCTTCTCCTCAACTCTTGTGCCCATATGGCACACTACATGACTTTGATCTTGCTTATTATCTGTCCCCTTCCACATTAGAATTAATGCTCCATAACAGCAAGAATCTTTCCTGGTCTTATTCCCAGTTCTTACCCCAGCTTCTTGCATGGTATTTAGCACATGAAAGGAACATATTTGTTGAAGACATTAATGAATGTCAAGTCAAGGTTAAACCAGTCTGTGATCAGGGCTGCCTTGCCCTCCCCTCTCATCCTCCTGGGGTACATTTTATTTATTATCATTTTATACCGAGGATCGAACTCAGGGGCACTCGATCACTGAGCCACATCCCCAGCCCTATTTTGTATTTATTTAGAGACAGGGTCTCACTGAGATGCTTAACACTTTGCTTTTGCTGAGCCTGGCTTTGAACTCTCATCCTCCTGCCTTAGCCTCCCAAGCCACTGGGATTACAGGCGTATGCTATCACACAGGTTTCGACTGGGTACATTGCCACACAGAGGCCAGAGAGTTTGAGCCAGCTGGCTACACCAGAGGTACACAAGCGGCTCTGCCAGGCGATGGGCTTCTGCCCCAGACAACCTCACAACCTAGAGTGTACTAATATTTGCAGTCTGGGCTGGAGGTGCAGCTCAGTACTTGAGTGCTTGCCTAACATGCATAAGTTCCCAGGTTCTAACCCCAGAACCAAGGAGGGAAAAAAAAAAATGCAGTCTGCTGGCACTTTTAACATGGTTTACACAGTATAAAGCCCAGGGCAGGTCATGGACCCTTGCTTCCTGGAATCAGAAAGCAATTTCCAGACCTCTAACCTGAATGGAATCAGCCCAAGAGGACTCAACCTTAGGTAGATTTGAGGACAGGACCCAGGCTTCTCAAGTTGTGTGGCTTGGTTTTGTTTGTTTTTGTAGTGCTGGGAATTGATCCCAGGCCTCCTTCATGCTCCCAAGTGCTCTACCACTGAGCTACATCTCCAGCACAGGCCCCAAGCTTTCCAGAGACATTTTCCCTTAATACCTACTGGATGAAACATAAGCACCCAAACCAGCTCTGGGGGGAGAGAATTCAGCAGGAGAGGAGGGTGGGGGTGGTGACTGATGGTAACAAGACTCCACAGGGGAACAGATAAAGAACTCTACTGGTGGGTCTTTAATCATTAAATAATTTGTCCTGGAATCGAAGAGTGCAGGTAAGACACCAATCACATCTAAATGGGAGCAGGGTGAAAACTTTAAGAAGTTTCTGGCTAGAAATAGAATAACTAATTTTCCCACGGAGCAGTTACGAGTGGCCCTCACTTCCCCTAGCTCTAACTTATCAGAACCACCAGCAGCAGTCGCTGAAGGCTGCAAAGTTTGAAAGAGACTCGTGTGGGAATTGCAAGGCAGCAAAGACACAGAACCCTTTTAGCCAAAAATTATTCTTTCTTTGTCATCAAAGGGAATGCCAAGTATTTTGTCTCCAGCAATGTTGCCAGGTAACAAGCTGGCAGAACTGTCAACTGTAGTCGGATGTCCAATTCAAAGTACAGGCATTTTCTCTGTTATAACTACCCCACCCAGGGACTTTTAGAAGGACTTGCAACTGACCACTTTTTTAAAGTGTATCCAATCTCAGGCCCTAAAGGGGCTTCATTTTGTTAGTGTAATTGTTGCTTTGTTTTGGTTTCTTTTTTTACCATCAAGGCAGGAAAAAAAAGGGGGGGGGGGGTGGAGAATTGGAAAATGTATCTAACTTTTACCATTTTGCTGAAGGTGGTGCCATGTGTAAATCTTAGGGGCCTGGGGCACATTAAATCTTAAATTTCAGGGTGGGACCCTTAGAGACAGATCCCAGAAGTACAAAAGCAAACATATGCTTTTCTCCTTAGAGGGGACTGGGGCCCAAGTCCTTTTCCCGCCTCCCAGCCACCAGTTCTGGTCAGTTATTCCCACTCAGTTAAAGATTACCCAATCTGGAGGCTGGATTTGTGGCTCCCTGGTAGAGGACTCCTCTAGCATGCATGAGGCACTGGGTTCAATACTCAGCACCACGTAAATGTAAAATAAAGATATTGTGTCCACCTAAAACTAAAATTTAACAACAACAAAAAAAAAGATTACCCACTCTGGCCAAGCCAAGCAGTGAGCCCCACTCCCTCATTCTCCCGGCCCACCCCAAAGGACTTCAAGGCAGGTCTGATGCCTACTGGCTAGGAGTTTCTGTGCCAGTAGGCATCAGAAAATGCCAAGAGACTTTCACTGACCGTTCCCTGTCTTCTATAACAGAGATTTGAGTACACAGGGTAAGGGGCAGACCGATGCTCACATGCCAGGCTGGGCAGCAGCATGGGTAACCGGGATCAGTCTAAGTCTCGCTTTTTTTTTTACTTTTCTCTCCTTAGCAGAGTTAAAAGTATCCCAGACGGCGTGAGAACGACTCCGGAGAAAGTGACATTTTGCGCACGCTGCCAAGTCTCCGAGGCGGGTAAACCAGGCAGGGCCAACAATGGAGTAGGGCATGGGCCGGTAGGCAAGAAAAGGCAAGTCAAGCCAAGGAGAGGCCCCAGGATGGGGCCTCAAGTGCACCGACTAAGAAGAAGCGGGGGTGGGGGGGGCGGGGACGGGGGGGAAGGGGGGGGCAGTCTAACAAAAGGGGAAAACTGAAAGGACACTCCTCCAGCTGTCGAGTAATGGCTCCAAAAATAGCTGACGTGGGCCTGATGGTGAGGAGGGATTAGAGAGCGCCCGGCTGTAAAGGAAGGGGAAGTGGATGCCTCCCCCCTCTCCGCCTTTGTCTGAGCAGGGGCCGCGCTGCGACCCTCCCTCTCGCCAGAGAAACGGTAGGGTGCCCCCCTCGGTTCCTTGTCTCTCTCCAGGGGCGCAGGCGGGCAACACATCTATCAGATCCGGGACTCCCCCAGGACTCCCTCCCGGAATACCTGGGGGCGTATGGCAGCCCCGAGCCCAGCCCTCGCAAGACAGCAATCTCCCGGGCCACCAGTTGCCACCGTCCCTCAAGTCCCCACCATTGCGCCTCATGCGGCCCGGAAGCGCCAGACAGGGTAGCGCAGAGCGAGGCCGCCCCCCCAGCCTTTTGTGTGCCAGATCCCGCCGCTCCCGGGCCGCAGGCGTCGCGAGTCGCGCTCCCCGGCCCCCGCCCGGGAAGTCGCCACGTCGCGGCACCGGCGCGCGCCCGCCCGGACCCTCCGTGCGGCACTCACAGTGGCGCCGTGGCTGCTCTTGCAGGCTGGAGGTGTTCAGGGCCGTCGGCACCCAGGCCGGCCCGGAGCCCGAGGCTCTACAAAGCGAGCGTACGACCCGCAGGTAGCCGGCCATCCCAAGCAGGGGAGCGAACGAGCGGGCAGCTAGAACCCAGTGCGCCGCTCCACACGGCTGCCTGCAGCGGGGCCGGGTTGGCGCTGGCAGCCAGGACACAACCGGGGCGGGACTGCTAGGGCCCGCCGCCCCATTGGGCCTCGCCGGGAGGGGGCGGGGCCAGGGCCCGGCCCCGTCCGACCCTTCTTAGGGCCTTGCCAGAGCCTGCGGGCCAGAGTGCTGAGCCCGCGCATCTTGGGCTCTGCGGCTTACCCAGCTCCGCGGGATCCAGAGGTTGAGAGACTCACTTGAACCGGCGAGGGGTTGACTGCTCCAGGGTGCCCCACTGAACCTGAGTGTCAATTGCCCACACATCGCCTTAACCCCTGTGTCCTTTGCATTTGAAGGGCTGAACCCCGATGGGCATTAACCAAGTGCAGGTTCCGCATTCGTGACCCAAGACTAAGAAACCTCAAGTTTCTCAGGTCCAACTGGTTGCGTAGATTATCTGGGATCGAGAGTTGAAATCCCCCTTCTCCTCACTAGGTCAGACTCCGAGCCCCCCAAGTCCCTTAGCATAACCAGTCTGTTTTCCCCTGTGCTGAACGGGATGTAATGTAATAATAACAAGGCTGTCGTGGGTGAAATTATGTAGTAAAAAGTTTGGGGCGCTCCCCTGTACTCAACAACTACTACTGATGTTTATCTTATTCCAAGTGATAGCTCTGCAGCCCCAGGCAGAATTGAACCCGGGGCCTCAAGCAGGCTAGGCAAGAGCTCCACCTCTGAGCTACATCCAGCCAGACAGTTTGATTTTACCCTGTATGTTTTGCAAAAGACGGGAGTGATGGATTCTGCCACAGACAACCAAACCCTCTCTCTCTTCACCCATTTTCTTGAAATGAGACTAAAACTAAGGGCTGAGTTTTATTTAGAAAAATGTCATACCAGCCCCCTTTCCCAGTCACATCAGTTTACTCCAAAAAGGAGCAACCTTTCTGCCCTCTGTTCAGGGTTCTCTCCACAGCCTCTCAACATTGCCAGATGGAACTGGCCCAGGAAAGTGACCTTGAACTCCACTTCAAAGCTTTCCTCACCTAGTCCCAGCCTGGCAGGCTACTGCTTTGGCCCTAGTCCAATAGACTGGGCCCAAGTGGAGGCTGTTTTGGGGCCCCCCAAAGTCTAAGACTACAGTCAAAGGCCTGATCTTGGACCAGGGTGTCCCAAAACAACATATTATCCCTTTCACTCTGTTCTCAATTCTCTTGCTCAAAACACTAGTATAAGCCAGCTTGGCAACACATGTCTGTAATTGCAGTGACTCGGGAGGTTGAGGCAAAAGGATCACAAGTTTGAGGCCAGCCTCAGCAATTTAGTGAGCCCCTATCTCTAAACAAAAAAGGGCTAAGAATATGGCTTAATGGTAGAGCACTCCTGGCTTTAATATCTAACACTGAAAACGAATTTAAAACATACACATACACACACACACACACAAGCTGGGCATGGTGGTACACACCTGTAATCCCAGTTGCTCGGGAGGCTGAGGCAGGAGGACTGTGAGTTCAAAGGCAGCCTCAGCAACTTAGAGAGGCCCTGTCTCAAAATAAAATATAAAAAAGAGCTGAGGATGTGGCTCAATGATTAAGTGCCCTTGGTTCAATTCCTACTACCAAAAAAAAAAGAAAGAAAGAAACACACACACACATACACACACATGCTAGAAGATACCAATACAGCATTTGGCTTTCTTACCAAACTGGTATTATCAGGTACCCAGATCTCAGTGACATATCTATGAGGTTGGAGAATGGACCCCTCTGAGGAGCCTTCTGGTTCAAACAGTCTGAGAAACTGATGTGACTCCATTTTTGAAAACAAATAACAGCAGCTTCTACCTCAAGGCCTGTCCTAAGGAAGGGGGCGTGACCCTTGTCCTTGGAAAAAACCCACAGAGCACTCCTAGGCACATACCCACCCTGCTGAGTTGTTTGTCTGCAAATAACAGGAGAGATCTGCAGCGCCAGGTGTCCCTGACTCAGTTAGGCTAGGTGAGGACCCATAGCAACCCCCTAGCAACCACCAATCAGCATGAGACAAGGAAAATACCTGGAATGCCAGATGACCCCCAAGTAGTTTATGGTGGTTGATATCATGTTGGAAAACCATGTAGTTTAGCACGTACACCCCTCATGGCTTAAACCAATCAGTTCAAAGGAATCCCTCTCTTGTACAACCAATCACCCCTACCCAACTTGTTCCTGCCAGTGAATGTGCTAATCTATGTTAAGAGTTGTTTGAGGGGCTGGGATGTGGCTCAAGCGGTAGCGCGCTCGCCTGGCATGCGTGCGGCCCGGGTTCGATCCTCAGCACCACATACAAACAAAGATGTTGTGTCCGCCAAATACTAAAAAATAAATATTAAAAAAAAATTCTCTCTCTCTCTACCTCTATCTCTCTCACTCTCTCTTTAAAAAAAAAAAAAAAAAAAAAAGAGTTGTTTGATTTTCCCGCGGTATGGAATGGTTTGCTGTGTGATGTTGTGAAGCATAGAGTATCCCCCAAAAACCTATAAAATATCACTAGACAAAAGACTGGGACTCACTCCCTGGGACTGCTGAGTAGGGAATGGTTGTGAGTCCAGGCTCGAGCTTGCAATAAAGACTCTTATGTGATTGCATCGGAGTCGGCTCCTGGAGGTCTATTGGGGTCCCACAAATCTGGCATTACAAGTCAAATTCAGTTATCAATAACCCATACTGAGGGGCTGGGGATGTGGCTCAAGCAGTAGCGCGCTCGCCTGGCATGCATGCGGCCCAGGTTCGATCCTCAGCACCACATACAAAGAAAGATGTTATGTCTGCCGAAAACTAAAAAATAAATATTAAAATTCTCTAAAAAAATGTGCTATATCTATACAATGAAATATTATTTTTTTTAAAAGAGAGAAAGAGAGAGAGAGAGAATTTTTAATATTTATTTTTTAGTTCTCGGCAGACACGACATCTTTGTATGTGGTGCTGAGGATCGAACCCATGCCTCACGCATGCCAGGCAAGCGCGCTACCGCTTGAGCCACATCCCCAGCCCAAAATATTATTTAAAAAAAATAAAATAACCCATACTGACACCACTGAAAGGGTGGTAAAGAAATTGCTTCCCACACACAGGAGCCTGTCTCTTCCTCCATGTGGTGGGCTGGGATCTCAGAGGCCTGGAAAGCCTCAGTGTGTTCCTGAGTCTGTTCTCTACCTGCTTAGGGATCAGGGTGGGAGCTCTTGTGTCCTTCAAAGCATAGCAGTAGCTGGGGGCAGTTGAGACAATCTTTTAATTTTTATTTATTTATTCAGTGGTGCTATGGATTGAACCCATGATTTTACACATCCTATGCAGGCACTGTACCACTGAGCTGCACCCCCAGCCAAAGAGCCAAAATCTTTTAAACTGCCCCTCCCTGCCTTCCTCCCAGCTCTCCAGCTCTGGGCCAGCTTTCCCCACATAGTGCCTGTTTGGTAAGGCAGCTGGTGTCAGCTCCACTGAATCAGAAAGTCTGGTCACTTGGTTAAAGTCACACAGCTGGGATGTAGCTGAATTCCAATTCAAACCATGGCTCATAGTCTATTACTCTTAAGGACAAAAAGAGAGAGACCAAAATCTCATTTATTGTGCTCATGTGGTAACTACTGGCCCTGAAAAACACTAAAACACTAAAGAGAAAGATGGTATTTAAAGAAAGGGGGCTTAGATCTTGTAGTCTGAGGTCAGACTATATTTCTATGTTTTTAATCATACTGTATTTCATTATTAAATCTACGTCACATCCAAGTTCTCTGTAGAAGCACAAAAATGCCTATCACTCAGTCCCAGCCCTTTCAGAGCCAGAGGAACATATATACAATCACGAGAAGTCCAGGGAGAGGAAGAAGCTGTTCCAAGGGGAGTTCATATGTCATGTTTGGCATCTGCAAAGACAGCATTAGTTCTGCTGGGACAGATGGTGGAAAGTGTATGGTGCAGGGAGGGGGCATTCATCAAGCTGGCTCTTCCAGGATATCTGGGAAGAGGCTGGATGGGTAGGCTGGCAGAGCGACCCAAACTTCATCCAGCCCTCACTCCAGGGCATTAGTTTGGGGGTGGGGGTGGGGGGTATTTGGTAAGCAGAGGGTCACTCCTGTCAACAGTAGTGAGGGAATATTGGGAGGTAGGGATCAGGCCTGGGGAAGGGGAACCAGAGTCCCTTAGCTAGTCCTGTAGCCTGACCCAGCACCCTGGCAGGACCTGTAGGGGAAAAGCTGTAGCAGCGTGTGGAGGAGACAAAATGGGCAGGAACTGCAGCTGCTTGGAAGCGGGCATGGCAGGAGGAGGAGTCAGAGTGACTCAGACTTCCATCCCAGGGGCTGGAAGAAGGCAAAGCCATTATTAGAAATTGGAAAATAGGAGGAGGAGGAGGAGGAGAAGGAGGAGAGGGTTGTGGGGGAGGTGTTGATAGCAGAGCTATTTATGGTCATCTCTATGCTGATTCCCTGCCAGCAGCCTGTGCCCTCTCCCCCACCCAGTCTGCCTGAGCACTGCTTCCAGCACCTTTGTGCGTAAGCCCTGAGCAGTCAAATGCCTGCAGCTCAAATGCCTGCAGTAGCTTCCCACTAACTGGTACGATGAATCTGGATAGCTTAGGCCATTTGTGGCCTCCACCTCTTGCCACTCTTCTCTTCTGCTCTTTCCTCTGCCCAAGAACCCTAACCCAGGGCTGGGGATGTGGCTCAAGCGGTAGCGCGCTCGCCTGGCATGCGTGCGGCCCGGGTTCGATCCTCAGCACCACATACAAACAAAGATGTTGTGTCTGCCGAAAACTAAAAAATAAATATTAAAAAACTCAAAAAAAAAAAAAGAACCCTAACCCTACCCGTTTCCCAAACAGGTCCTGCCCCTGTGTCTTTGCACCATCCATTCCTTCCACCAAGTGAACTGTTTCCCCTCCCACAAAAACTGCCAACACACACAATTCACAAGAAGTACCCAGATCTCCAACATGTTGATATGTATGTATGTATTTAGTACTGAGGATTGAACCCAGGGATGCTTAACCACCAAGCCATATCCTCAG